CGATGAGCAATGCGAGTTAAGTCATCGGGATTGACACGAGTATGACTGGTATGACTGTGCTGCTGTGCTGAAGATCTAATAGATCTAACTCATGTCACCACTCTTCGTGACACCCTTTAGATCTGTCAGATCTTTAGGATGTGGCCTGTATGGAGACCCGTTCAAAATAATAGTATACCCTGACTTACCTCACACGTAGATACTTTATTGACACACTTTTCATTGACGCACTTTTCGTTAGATTGTGTGTTAGGCTAGGATTTAGGGTGCTAGGTAGTCTTTTTTATGCTTGATTATTGTTCTATATTGGATTGGTTGTCCTAGCCATGTATCTTTTATTTGCATTATGCTTGTGGTGTGCCTGCATGCTGCATATGTATGGTAGTGTGTTAGGGCGTTCTTTTGTAGGGAGTCAAGCCTATTTATATGCACACACACAGGTACCGCTATGGGGGGAGTATGTGATGATTTTTTTCCCTTTTTCTTGCAGGTGTTATTTAGCTCCCCCACTTTTAAGGCATGACTCATGATACGTTATTTGCATGTGAGTTTTTCCGCTGACAATTGTTTTCATGCAGGATTGAGTCTTTTTTATTTTTCTATGTACTTTTAGAGTCTAGGAGAGTCCTGTAGCAAAAATAAGATACGGGCACGGGTTCCGAGGTGTTTGGGCGGGAACCACGTGGAGGGGACCAGGTGTAAATGCTCATTCCATGTATCTTAATTCTACATTTTATATTGATGTATATAATTATGATCGGACATGTATATGCGGAGTTTGATTGTTTTTTTCTTTTTAAGGATATGTTGCACACCCAACGACACCAGCCTATTTATTATTTTGATTTGACTTATTTTGCTTTTTTCATCATGTTGCATGCCTACATTTGCATGTGTTTTCCTTATTTCTCTTTGTGTTTAATCTGGGATTTCACGATGGAACTTAGGCTCTTTAGGACTTAAATTCCTAATTTTCTAAAAAAATTCTAAATAAAATATTCAAAATAATTAAAATTTAGGATTAAAATATTCAAGATTTAAAAATTACAATATTCAGGATTAAAATATTCAAGATTTAAAAATTACAACATTTACTTTCCTGCATATATTAATAGGGTCTCTACAATACTTAAGAACCGCTATAGATAACTGCAATCATATTTGCATGTCCCGAGGAGGAACTCCCGTGCTTCTTCAACCTGACTAACCCAACATATTTTTTATAGGTGGTTGTCTAGTACGCCTAGGATGTTAGAATGCTCACCGGCCTAGACGGGGTATAAGTCTTTTTGTTTAAAGCGTTTTCAGTTTTGTAGATGAACCACCACTTCTCTTTCTTTCCTGAGACATCTTTGACACTTTGGTAGGTATAAGTCCCATCTCTTGGAGCTCTAGCTTATAGTCATAGGATAGAGTTTCCTTCCTTTGACCTTAGGGCTACCGAGGTTCCCGTGGACAACGCAATTCACAAATTGCTGACCGAGAACCTCAGGACGTGTTAGGTCGACTACCTTCACGACGAAGTAGACTTAGGGTCCTAGTAGCTGTGGATGACGGGTCTGTGGTACCCCGACCCCAGTTACCTCTACCTTTTCAAGATCACTCTACCTTCCTTTTGTTAAGCCCTTTGAGCCCTGTCGCTCCTTGACTTCGTTGATATCACCTTGCCACCTTGACGGCCCAATGCCGATGAGCTGCCGCTACCCATAGTGAGAGACTCACTCTCTGCTCGATGACTTGCCATGAGCTTTGAAGCATCGGGACTGTTCCCACACGGAATAACCTTCATTTGATTGTCTATACCTCAAGTTTATGATAATTCAAGTGAAACTTCTTTTATCGAGAGTATTCTTGGATATTCCCCAATATGTAATTAACCAAGTGGGATACGTCCAATTGGGAGTGCTCTTGACCCCATAACAGGCACCTACACCCGTTTCTCTGGTTTTAGGTAGTATACGTAAGTATTCTTTCTCGGATATTGGTTTAAGGTGTTTTCGCCCGACCATGTTAGGGTGGACACTCTTAACATATTCTTGCAAAGTTAATCACACGTAGATTCTCCACATTTTGTGTTTTCTCTTGTTTGTTGATTTGTCGTATGTCCCTTCTTATTCGGTTCCTCTCCTCTTCGAATCATTGATCTGATTCGAGAGAGAGATTTATTCAAATAAGGGAAGTACACAACGATCGACATGCTGACGACTTCTTCTAAAATAAAAAAGAGAAAAACAAGTGAAAACATCATTGTCGTAGAATTAGATGGGGCACCTAAAAGACACATATAAAATTATTTTTTACGAGTAAACTTCAAGATTTTAATATTAGGGATGTTCATGAAGAAGCAAATTCTATGTGGGATAAAGAAACAAACACTATTAAATAAGTGATAAAAAATGTACTTGAGAATCGAAAGAAAACTTTCTATACATAAAAATAATTAGAGTGGAATAATAATATGCAAGAAAAAATAAAATATAAGAAGTTATGTTATAAAAAATGATTTAAATGTAAAAACTTAGAGAACTGAGAAAAAAAATAAAATGACCCGTTTGGAGTCTAAGAGAACAATCTGTGACACAAAATTTTTTGCTTTTAGTGACCTTTAAAGTATATTAGATGCCATAGAAACAAAGAGAAAAGAGAAGTAAATATTCAACTCAAGTAAAGTGTATAAGAGATGAAAATCAAAGAAAAGAGAAGCAAATATTCAACTCAAGTAAAGTGTATTAAAGATGAAAATCAAAAAGTATTTTTCTTACAAAAAGATATTCAACATAGGTTGGTGAGTTATTTTGATAAACTTTTTAATGAAGTTTCTAAAATCTGATTGACATTAGTGATCCCAATATCTTTAATAATAATAAATATTTCATTTTTACTGTCTCAATAGTAAAATTAAAAAAAATTAAGGAAGCATTAAAGAAAACCAATAGGCGGAAGTCTATAGAACGTGTGATATACTAATTCAAGAGTAGAAATATGTAGAAGGTTTGGAATTTTCTTAACTTAATAAACTCTTTAATATTATTTTAAAAACTAAAAAGATGCCTCGGGAGTGAGGGAAGAGTATTTTGGTACCTATTTTTAAAAATAAAAGGGATGCACAAGAGTATATGTACCAATGGCTATAAATAAACCAAGCAATTATTGATACGGTTTTTAATTCACCACACTATACAATATCATATAATCATGTGTTGCATTTCTATTTCCCTTCGTATTATCATTATTGTTTGTCTTATAAATATATATCATATTTGCATAAGCTTTAATATATTTCTTGTCATTAGGTCATCACCATCTCATACCATAATATTCATTGATAAATGGTGTTCATCCCAATATTGAACTTATCAGTGGTCCCTTGATACCAATCAGTTAATCCTAACCTTAATTTTAAGACTCAATAATTTATTTATTGTTCTACCAACGCTCATCTCGTCATAATTTGACCCTCTTCTATATGTTATCAGTACAACTACTTACCTATCATAAACTATATGATTTTTTTTTCTAATCAACTTTATCTATTAGTTATTTTCATATATTGTTTTTGCTTAATATAAATTTACCTATTAGTGATTAGCTTAGTTAGCATGAACAAAAAAATTTAATATTATGGATAATAATTAACAATCATACTTGAAATTACATCTCTATAATAATGTTATGAAATGAACATGAGAATTAAATCATTTATACGTATTATAATCTATTGCTTTCATCAAATATACTCAGCCAAAGAGGGAAGGACACGTTGAAGCTCAATAAAAGAACAAGCAGTCAGGATGCTGAAAGGTTAGAGTGGCGTCAACCATGACATAGAAGTTGGGCTAACAACTCTGTATGAATGGAATATGGTCGCATCAACTCGAGAGTGACTCCAAAGATAAAAAGGTTGTGTTATTAGTTGCCGTTGAAGTAAGATATAAAACACGTGAAGGAGGAGGAGGTTCTTGATCTTTATTTCACATGAAGACAATGTGTTCCGTAATCCTCACATTTGGACTACATTGAAACGCTTCAGAAAATAAACTTTTTTGGAATATTCTAAATTCCTCATAAAAATTAGCTACGTTCTCCTATTATTGTACTTATATTCATCTAGAAAATAACCAAATCAAATATAAACAAAAGTTTGCCCATTTATTTAATAAATCAGGTAGAAGAATAATTAAACTTAGGGTCTGTTTGAGACAGCTTATAAGTGCGGTCGGCGTTATCAAAGCGCCGCCGTACCGTTTAGTTCGCGCGTTTCGTCAGCTTATCCGAAATTCCGTTTCAGTTTTTATACTAAATGCAGGCCACGGGTCGACCCCTGCAGCCGGCCCGGGGGCCGCTTATCATGAAACGCACAAGCTGCCCCAAACGAACTCTTAATCAAACACAACTCTTATAATTTATCTATATGCATAAATAATTTTTGTATGTAAACCCTTTTTCAAACCTCATATGAAATGTCTTTTCATTACTCATTGCACTTAAAAGAGTTTTTTTTTTTTTTTCTCTTAAAGTTATAGCAGATATTTACATGCCAAAACAACTTTATTTATAAATATATAAAAACACTCGAGCATCTTTTTGGTACAACTAAACAACGTTAATTTTTTCAAATGGTTGTGATTCTTAAGCTATAATGCTCATTAATCATGATTATAATTATTTAGACATTTTCAATCATGAAAATTTATTATTATATAAAATAAATATACCGGGCAGTTGAAGAATGAGAAAAGATTTCTCCATCAACTTCTAAATTATCTAAATATATTTATTTTAAATAAAAAAATCACCATTATTATATTTTCCTTAAATATTTATTTTTAATATATATAAATTACATTGAAAGATTTATTTCAACAAATACAAAGTATAGCAAATACTATATTGCTCAAATAATTTACCAGGGAAATAGAAAAGAGTAAAATATATATATAATCAGCTAAAAAATAAAAAAATAATCAAAGTAATTAAATAAAAAATATATAAAATCTCATTTCTCATATACTATTACAAGCACCCATCTCGGACTCATTATTGCTACCTCCTAAGAAAAAATAATTTTCTCATATTCTATAAGCACTCTCTCTTTATTTATAAGACAATCATAAAGTGAAAAAAAAAAAAAATTAAAGAGAGCCTAATCCTAATACCAATATCAATCCCTAATACAAAAGTGTTAGTCAAAAGAAGAACCTGCACCAGAAGATAGAACAGAGGTTTAGACAAGTGAAGTATAAAATATTAGGGGAATCTACATACACGCCACATAAATTTTATATATTTACATATTTAACACTTTCTGAAATTTGCATACATAGCACCCAATTCATATGCATTTACTTATCTCACCCTCGAACTTTGATTTTTACAAGCTAAGTACCTTTTTCTATGTTTAAAAAGCTGAATGAAAAGATTTGAGTTCTATATATGTAAATTTCCCCAACACTTCTGTGTCAGAACCACTTCAAACAAAGGCATGAAAGGTCTATTCTACTTGAGAAAAAGTTAATATTAGTAATATTTCTGAGATGATATTAAGCATTTAAGTGCTACATACATACTAATATTCAGTGTAGATATATAAATAAATAAGAATTGTGTGGTCCTTTTATGAAAATATCATTAGATGCTGGGCCATTCCAAAAAAAAAAGATAGTTAAATCGTCACACCTAGAAAGAAAATCCAATGAATGAAAATATTCAGAGGCCATAAAGCAATATTTATCATCTATGACCCGTTTGGAATCTTCTATTGGTGAGCTTTTGTTTGGTTGCCGACAAGAAGAATATGGATCTTACATCCCTTATCTTCCTAAAAAAAAAAGATGGATTTGATACAATGGAAAGGATGGAGATAGAAAAGAAAGCTCATTTTTACAAAAATGACCCTAGGGAGTGTTAGGCAAAGGAAATTAAAGGAATGTTAGCGGTCAAAAGCTTAAATTTATGGGAGAGAACTGATTATTTGATCTTTTTACAAGAAGATATTTTTAAAATTTTATGATGTGGGACAAATTCAGTACTCAAATATGCCTTAAAAATCTTCTGTCACACGTGCGAGCACAACACGTCAGCTAGATACAACCAAAACATTAGCTTTAATGGCATAGTATAAGTAGTGTGAATCAAAAGGGAGGTCTGAGTTGGGCCTAATACATCATTTGTCAAGCCTATTATTCACTTAAAAATTTTAAGAGGAATTTACATACAGACCACACAATTCTTACATATCTAAAACCTGAACTGCAACATTACATAAAAAACAGCACTATAGCTTACTTTTTAAAAGTTAAATACACCTTTTCCATGAATAAGTTTTTAATTCAAAAGTCTTTCAAATGCAACTATCAAACCTTAGGAGTTGGATATGTAACTACATAAGAATTCTGGGGTATGTATGTAAATTTCCCAAACTAAAATTATATGGTTAAGAGGTAGCTATATCATATTTCTAACCTAAACAGCTCTGCAATAAAGGACTAACCAAATGCTCTCATGTGAATAAATAAATTTTTAAAAAATTGCAGAAATCGACTAGATCTTTTGCTGTAATACCTCACTTCCAGCAAGCAGAGGCTCTTGTAGGTTCTGAATTCGATTAGTCAAATTGATTTTTTTTTTCTTTCTTTCTAAAGCGATTGCTGATGTGAAAATCTGTGTTATATGGCTAGAATCAGACAGCCAAGAATGCCTAAAGTAGAAATAACCTGCAGAAACAAAAAGGAAAAATTAGGACTTTGGTGAATAAAATGTTCCCCTCAACTTCTGCTTTCCAATGTGTGTATTATATATAGCAGAGTTACAACTGATGCTATCTTTTTTAGTGCAATAAATGCAAATTTGCAATGAAGTACTTTATAAAATCTCTCATTGAGGAAATCACCCACCTGAAAATCACTTCATTGCAAGCCACTAACATGTAAATAGAGAAACATAGAATAAATCATACCACTTCATCCTTTAAACCATTTGCAGTTCAAGATTTCATCCCCATGATTAATAACTAAAAGGAAGATTTACATACAGACCCCACAATTCTTATGTAGTTACATATCAACACCCGAAGTTTCATATTTACACTTAGACACATTGGTGTCACAAATCTATGCATGACCAGGTGTATTTAACTTTGAAAAAGTTAGTGATGATGATATTACTGATGTGATGTTAAAAATTTGATTGTTAGGCGTATGAATGTTTAGGTGTTACATATATAAATACAAAAGACTTGTGTGGTGTGCATGAAAATGCCCATAACTAAAAATGCATGATCCAAAAATTACTTCTTTTAAAATGATCAAAATCATAGTTATGAAGAAAATTTAAACGCATCTCTAAACTGAAATGTAAATAAGCTTAAGAAAATCTTACCATTTGGCTAGAAGCAGAACCGGTAACTATGAATGATGTTGATGAAGGAGAGAATCCAGACAATCCAGAACCCTGTAATCCAATATTGTACACAGGAGTGCCGTTAGGGTAGAACAGTCCATAATTCCTCTCTGATGTCGGACCAGGCTTTAAATCTTCATTAAATAGAGCAAAAACATGGATACTCAGAGGTATATTTGGCATCAATGGCGTCCCCTGATTCATTTCTAACCTCTTCAATAAATTCCCATTGTATAGAGCAGCATTCTCGGGAGTAGCTCCGGCCTCATCGGAATCCCCTTTCGACGGCCAACCAGTCTCCGATACCCTCACATCAATATCACTGTACCCCGTCGCTTTTATTGCCGAATAAACGGAATCCAGCTGAGCATAGAGCATGTTATCGTAGTTCAGATTCGTATTTGGATCCGTGACGCCTTGATTCGACTGAAACAGGACGTAATCCATCGAGACAGTATCGGGACTCGCCTTATAGGCAAAGTAAGGGTAAACATTTATCAAGAAAGGGGACTTCGTTTTGGAGTGGAAGTCGAGCAATGGCTGAATGTATTGAACTAGGTTTGGAACGAAGGAGCCTGAGGAAGGAGGGTAAGAGTTGCCCAAAATGGCGAGAGAATGTGCGGTGGTTATGCTAACCTGTTGATCTAATCCGAGAGACTGTAGAGCTCCGTGCAGAGATTGCATCGCCGGGAGAAGGTTCGAGATAAGCGAGGTGTCTTTGCCAGAGAGAATTTCGTTTCCGACGGTAATGGATGTGATCTTTGTTCGAGGAAGAAAGGACTGAACGTTTTGTTGAATCCAGGCTTGAGCTTGGGATGGATTGATCATGGCCGCGACGTTCTCATTGCCAATCCCGATTGTGAACTCGATGTCGGAACCGGAGAAGGCGCTTAATACGTTCGAGTCGGCGTCGTAAAGCTTAACTTTGTTGATGGAGAGAGATTGAAGGAGCGCAGAAACTCGGGTTGGTGAAGGAAGATTGTTGGCAATTTGGCCGTAATTGATCCCGAGATTAAGACTCAGGATTTGGATAATTTGAGCTGCCAAGCACAAAGAATCCCTATTTCAAACTTCAATGAAAGATAGAAGGGAAATAAAGAAATAAACTGAAACTGAAACCTAGTCATAAACCAGGGTTATATGAGAAGCAAAATAAAGTAATTGTCAATCAGCTCAGATGATATCATCGGAATCAAAGAACGAAGAAGAGAAATGAAACAAAAATAAGAATAGCAGAAAAAAATTAATCAAACAGAAAACTCTGCAGAAATTACTAGCAAAACCCTCCTACTACATTCATCATCACCAGCACGAAGCACAAACGGCATGGACCAAAACTCCACTTCCACACAGATCTCCAAACTTCCTTTTACTAAAAAAGAAACCAAACGTAACCAAGATCTACAAAAATTCTCCTATAAACTCTTAAGAAATTGCAGTTTCAGCAACAAATAGTAACAATTCTACCAGAAATACAAAGAAAGGCCAAACAGCATTTCTTAAATATCAAATTTCTTTAGTTAGCATTGCAAACTACCAAATAATCTCCTCTAGTTATATCCAAAACTTAAAAATAATTCAGAAAACAATTAACACAAAACTAAGCGTCGGATGCATAAACCAGAGCAGAAAGAAGAGCTCATCTCCAACCTTAAGCCAAAAGCAAAAAGATCGGCTCACCTGATAACAGAGAAAGGATGAAGAACAGTGTAAAAGAAGAGGAGATTGACATTCTCCTCTTTCTCTCTGTCTTCCTGCTTCCTCTCTTCCTCCTCTCCTTCGCCGCAACACTGCCTGCATCTTCTCGATCTGCAATTGTCGCCTGGCTTTTTTAAATAGGAAAATTTACATACATAGCAACCAATTCATAAGAATTTACTTTTCACGCCCAAATTTTAATTTTTAATATTGCACTATTTTTCCTTTTAAATGTTGGTTTGCAGTAAACTTACCGTTGCAACTTATCGTTGCTTAACGCAGCGAATGCGCCGTCAGATTTGGGGCAGCTGCAGCTTAACCAGCTTCTGCTGATAAGCAGCTTATCCTGATAGTCTGTTGATTATCAGCTGATTCGGATAAGCTGTCAGGCTGTTTGGTTGGCGCTTATGGAAAACAACTGATTTCAAAAAATTGATCATTCTGCCCCTGTTCTGAATAAACAGTTTAGCTGTTTGGTTAGTGCGTTTTGTAAACAGCTTATGTGAAAAAAAAAATTTAATTAAATGAATAATCTGTGTTACATAGTAAATTTCACAATTACTTGAAATTGTTTGTAAGCATGCATGTTCTCTGTTAATTCAGAATGAATGCTAAATGAGGTTACATTAAAGACATTCATTTTGTTATATCCGTTAGTAGAGGAAACAAATTAGCTTGGATAATTTGAAAATGTAAATATTTCAGTTACATTTTTCTACTCCGCAAAAGTACAGAAATTGTCATTTTTAAAGACCGATTTTGAAGCTCCTTCAACATCAATGCATTAGAAAATTTACAGAAATCATCAATATACAGATATCATTCAACAACTCTACAAAAGAAGAATAAAAAATGAAAATTTACAAACATACCACTAAAAAATGAAAATTTGTTTTGAAACTCAGAACTCAAAAAAACCGAAGAAATGAAAAAATCCATAATGCGAAGAAGAGGAATAAATGGGCGAGGAAGAAGTTTTACCTTCCGAGAATGCCAAGAACGAGCTCGCCGACGATGGAGAGCAGGCCGAACGGAATCAGTGAGGGCAGACCTAAAAATCGGGGATGAGATTCTCATGAAAGGATTTAAGAGGGAAGAAGAGATGAATGTGAGGAGGTTAGATCGACATTTCTTACCAGAGCCTGAGCGAAAGCTGCCGTTGGCGGAGCGGAAACGGAGCAAGGTTTCCTCGACGGAGGCGACATATCGGAGATTTGGCGGAGGAATACCTAAGCTTCGACGGAGGAAGCGTTGGTCTTCGGCGGAGCGGAGGAACAGCGAAGAGGCGGCGGCGACGGAGCGACACTTCGGCGCGAGACAGAGCAGTGCTTCGGCGCGGAACAACGGAGCTGAAGGCGAAGGAGTTCGAATAATGTTTTAGGGCTAGAGGGAGGGCGTAGGCGTAAAATATCCCTCAATCGAGCGTTCGAAACGCTGATCGCGGGTATCGAACCGCGATCAGCTTGTCTCCTAATAAAAAACGGGCTTATTTTATAAGCTGTGCAAACGCCAAAACAAACGGTGCAGCGGCGTTTTAAAAAACGCCGCCGCACTTATAAGCTGCCTCAAACGGGCTCTTAATTTTACTAGCGGTGCAACAAGCCAAGCTAAACTCGAGGAAGCACGGCTCTAACCACAAATAATTACATATTGTGTGTATATTAGGTTATTCAGACGGTACATATAAATTACACTTAGGTATAAGTGTAACATAATTATACCCTCCGAATAACCTAATATGTATATAAATATTTCTCGGCTCTAACTGGTTTAAAATAATATTAATATAAAAAATATTTAAAATATATAAAATTTTAATAATTTATTTTTAAAATAATTAAAAATATTCAAAAAAATAATATTTAAAATTTTATATCAAGTGATTTGGCATTATTTATCTCATATTTCACTCATTATACTTATCTTTTTATTATAATATTAATTTAAATTAATATTATTTGTTTTCTTTTATAATTAACAAGGCCGCACATGACTGGGTGAAAATATAAAATAATGAATTTTTAAATTGCTGCTAAAATAATCATCATAGAGGATTATTATACCTCAAATTTAAAATAGTCGGATACTATTTTGATACTTCTATAAATTCTACGACAAAAAATGTCATATGTAAATAGTCAGGAAATTATTTTATCACTTTATTTATTTATTAAATAATAGTTTTTAATATTTTTTTTAATTAAAAAAAATCAGTAATATAATAATGATAGCGTCGCTTAGAAGAAAAGCAACAAATACATAGATTATTTTGTGCACGTAACTAACATAATGAGAACATAATTTTCTGGAGACGATTCTCCATGCCTGAAAAGAACCCTTTTTCTTTGTCTTATTAAAATATTAATAAAATACACCTAAGTCTGAGTACAGCCATACCTCATTATTATTCAGACAAATTACACCCATAGAATATAATTTTATATATTTACCTGTTTGACTCCTAAAATTTCATATTTATATTTATAATCAGGGCCGTAAAAAATGCTCATGAACAGCTCGTGTTTGGCTCGATAAGTTGTTCGCGTTCGATTCGTTCGTTAAACAAGCAAACCAAACACGAATAATTTTTTTTTTAGATTGAATTATAAACAAATGAACAAGAACAAGAAGTTTTTTTATTATGTTCGGTTCATTTTAATTCGAAAAAAATAGATAATTAAGAATTAATATAATTATAAAATTTTATAGTAAAATTTTATGATACATTTGATAGGAAAATTTAAATTTTAAAATTTGAAATTTATTAAGTTATTACAAAGAATAATTTTTAATTCTAAATTATTTGAAATTGATATCCATCATTTTTATGATAATTTTTTAATAAATAAGTAAATTATTAATTTTTTAGCTCATTTCAAATCGAACACCAACTGAACACAAGCAATTCAAACAATTCAAATTAATTTTAAGCAAATCGTACCAAACACGAGCATCCTTTTCACAAACAATTTCGAATACGAGCCTATTTCAAATAGATTTAATTTCAAACAAACCAAACACGAGCAGAGCTTCTACTTGCTCATATCCGATTCGTTTACACCTCTATTTATAATAACGTGGTATCATAATAACATGAATGAAAATCCCCCTTTTATTATTTTTAAAGAGCAAATCAACCTCAATCTCTCTTATTTGAAAAGAACTATATATCTCACAAGCATTTGTCTTAATTAACGTCTGAATGATATATCTTGTGAAGGTTCATATTTAAAATGGTATCAAATTAAATGTCTGTATTCAAGGTTCATATTTACATGTGTGGTCCGAATATGCGAACAATGACGTTGATCGGACAATATTATTGCATAGTGTCGTGGTAATATCTATGTATTCATCTGCACATCCTGATGTCCAAACAGAAAAAAACAATTTTGTAGTCAAATCCACTTTGTCATCCACATGTCCAAGTGTGCAGTTGGGAGACAAGATACTAGTTGTTCTTTTGATGTGTGTGTGTGTGTGTGTCTATATATATACGAGAAAAATTCACACCAGAAAACAGTAACACAGCGGAACACACAGATTTACGTGGTTCGACAAATTGCCTACGTCCACAGAGTTGCAGAGAATTTTACTACTTAAGAAATTTACACCAGTGGATCACCTCGACTTACAAGAGAAATCTCACTTCATTGGTCTCTCTTCTTCTCTCTCTAGATCGAGATACACCGAAGAAACTCTACACCGATATACACCAAAGAAGATAAACTTACAAGAGAAATAAACCCAATTTCTCTTCTGCCACAAACCACCAAGAAGAAGCCAAGGGAGATCAATCTTTTTCTTCTTTTTTCTCCCTTCTACCGCAAGGAACAACTTCTTGCACTTTCCTTCCTTCTATTCTGAGAAAGCCCGAAGAAAAACACCAACCGTGCTTCCAAACTTTCTTCTCTTCTGTTCGCAACTTAAAGGAGACGAGAGGCGGGAACGGTTCGCTACAGAAGGGAGGCGCGACACTTCGTGAATCAGGACCAGGGAGCGGCGGGAACAGGTATCGCGACAGTAGAGCGGGAGCAATTACAATGATTTGCGATCGGGCGCGACAAGCGGGAGTGGGATCTGGATCAGGCTCCAACACTTAACAATCTCGCATTAAAGAACAATACACCTGTTACAACGTCTTCTTCCTCAAACTGATATCCTCCACTGGCTGTGTCGCCCTTTTCTTCAAACATGAATCCTCCATCTCTGCAATTCAAAGCCCTGTCTTCACTCCAGAAGACCAACTGAAGTTGTGCACAACTTCAGTTTCTGAAGAGTAACACCTTCAGTCAACATATCAGCAGGGTCAACATAGCTTTACACCTCTAAGTTATTTCTTGGATTACACTTTTCTCTACTTGCAACTCCCACTGCATGAGCAATATCATGCCTCTGTTGAATGCCTCTTCCAACAAGTCTAGCCTTGTATCTTTTACTGTCATCATACTTAGTTTTCACCTGGTACACCCACTTATTGTGTAATGTCTTCTTCCCTGTTGGAAGTTCTGTCAGCTCCCACTTGCTCGAACATTGATCTTGCAAGATTTCTTCTTTGTTCTGTGGTTCTCCACCATCTGTCTGTGGAACAATAGGAATGGGTGTCCCGGACCCACTCTCTTCTTCACTTTCATCATCAACAGAACTATGAACTGTCAGTAATAGCACATCTTGTACTTCTTCAGATACCACATTTGTGCAATCATTCTTCATCTTCTTGGAATTCCTGCAATTACGCTTTATATGACCAACCTTGCCACAATTTCAGCAGGTTGTCTGCTGACCAGACTTTGATTTTGATCTCCCTCTATTTGAGTTTCTATCATGTCATTTCCCTCTGAAATCAACACTCAGTGTCGAATTTGTACCTGAGATCTCGCCAGAATCTTTCCTGTGAACCTCCTCATCCAAAATCAAATCACGAATATCACAACATTTCAGTAACTGTGATTTCTGCAGTTACTCTTTATATGACCAACCTTGCCAAAATTTCAGCAGATTGTCTGCTGACCAGACTTTGATTTTGATCTCCCTCTATTTGAGTTCATGTCATCTCCCTCTGAAATCAACACTTAGCGTCGAATTTGTACCTGAGATCTTGCCAGAATCTTTCCTGCAAACCTCCTCATCCAAAATCAAATCACGAATACCATCACATTTCAGTTTAAATTTACCTACAGAACTGCTAATTATTGTTCTCATGACTTCCCAACTATTTGGTAACGATGCCAACAATATCAGCGCACATAGCTCATCATCAAAATCAATTTCAACAGATGATAATTGATTTGTGATAGTATTGAAATCATTCAGGTATTAAGCAACAGAAACACATTCCACCATTTTCAAGTTGAATAACTTCTTCATCAAGTACACATTGTTATTCACCGATGGCTTTTCATACGTACGTGATAAGACTCCCATGAGATTTGTATTCATCCTCTCCTTGACGACGTTGTGTGCAATGAACCTCGATAGGGTCAATCGAATAACCTTAGAACTTATTGATACAATAAATTTCATTCAGTCTCATCCATCCTTTCAAGTCTTTTCCCCAATAATGGAAGATAAAGTTTCTTCTCATAGAGGTAATCCTCTATCTGCATTCTCCAGTAACCAAGATATATTCCATCAAATTTCTTGATCTCTCAAACCTTCACTTCATCTGCAGTCATCATTCTTTCTCAGATATGAACAAATCTCTGATACCAGTTGTTGGAAGATAAGATACAAGTTGTTCTTGTGGTGTGTGTATATATATATATATATATATATAACAGGAGAATGATCGACAACGAAGTGAAAAATAGAACGACAAAAATTCACACCAAAAACAGTAACGCAGCGAAACACATAAATTTACGTGGTTCGGCAAATTGCCTACGTCCACAAGGTTACAGAGGATTTTACTACTTGAGGAATTTACACCAGTCAATCACCTCGACTTACAACAGGAATCTCTCACTTCGTTGTTCTCTCTTCTTCTCTCTCTTTTTTTCTCTCTCTCTACATCGAGATACACGGAAGAAACTATATACCGAGATACACCGAAGAAGATAAATTTACAAGAGAAATAAAATCAATTTCTCTTCTGCCACAAGCCACCAAGAAGAAGCCAAGGGAGAACAATCTTCTTCTTCTTTCTTCTTCATTCTACCGCAAGGAACAACTTCTTGCACTTTCCTTCTTTTTATCCTGAGGAAGCCCGAAGAAGAACACCAACCATGACTTCCAAACTTTCTTCTCTTCTGTTCGCAATTTAAAGGAGACGGGAGGCGAGAACGGTTCGCGACAGCAGGGAGTCGCGACTCTTCGCGAATCAGGATCAAGGAGCGACGGGAACAGGTATCGCGACAGTGGAGCGGGGGCAATCACGATGATTCACGATCGGGGGCGACAGGCGGGAGCGGGATCAGAATTGGGCTCCAGCGCTTAACACAAACTTGTTGATTTGAGAAGCGAGTATAACAAATGCAAAATAATAAAATAATCTTTTTTTCATTTTCTTAATTTAAAAAAACAAAATAAGACAAAAAAATTTCAAATGGAAATGGTTCTTCCCCCCCAAATACTCAAATGGGAGAGGAAGACATGGTTGGATTTATGGGCACCTCTCTCTTTCATTCCTGGAATAAGGAGCCACGAGTATTAAAGAAAGAAGAGAAAATGAGTAACATCGCTTACAAAAAATACAAATATAAAATAAATAAATAAATAAAACCTTAGATTTTATGAAGGAGGCAAAGTAGGGGAAAATATCATGAAATATAACAGCTGTATTTATATATGTACCGCCTAAATTTTAATTTTTATAGATGTCGCCCTACCTATGTAGCCCAGAGATGTTAACGATCTGATTTTGAGACCTGCTTGAAATTGGCTCGAATATATTTAGTACGGCTCGAAATCTACTCGTGGCTCGTTAGATTCAATTTCAAATCGAGCCAGCTCGAAATTAAATAAAGCTCAATCCGGCTCAAAATGGAAACAAGCTGACTCAAATTGAGCTATATGGATTCTTTTCAACTCGAAATAGGCTTAACCCACCTCAAAAGTGAAACTAATTTGTTCGAATTGAGTTATTTGGGTCCCTTGTAGCTGTAAAGTAGCTCGGAACTTGTTATATTCAATTTTACTTAACATTATATATATTATTTTTATAAATAAAATGTACTGCGAGCTGATCTCGAGTCAATTCGAGTCGATTCATGTGTGACTCAAAATCGGGGTTGAAAAAAATTCGATCCAAAGTTCGGCTCATAGCACGACTCATTTATTTCAATCTCATCCCTTCCTCAGCTGAAATTCGAATCAATTTTCAAACGATTAATGTTCTTCGAACTAAACTCACAACCCTATTACCTATGCATATAAAATGTGTATTTCATTTTTTTTTTAAATTAATAAATAGATATTCTTTTATTTTGTACAAAAGCTTTGAGGGGTAAAAATATATAAATTAAAGTTTAAGTGTTAGATATGTAAAAAGATATGAATTGGGTGGTATGCATGTAAATGCCCCATTTTCAAAAAGGTCCAGAGCCTTTGAATTTTGTAATTCAAATTTGACCGGCATCTTCACTGAGATATTTTCTCATTACCACTAAATTATTTGAATGAAAACTGATGAATCGGAGAATTTGCATATACATCCACTAAATTGTATTTTTTTTTTCATATTTGCATGCCATCATATTTTCAAAATAATATTTACTTCTAAATGCCTTCTAAACGAAAAATTATTGCATCAGAACTCCGCACGTAGAGTTTCGTGCGGAGTCCAAAAAAATCACGACACGTGAAGGCACAAGAAAAAAAAATTGGTCTGATAACACAGGAGAATATTCCTCCCGTGTTATTTCATGTCATTCAGGTGTTATTGTGTTATAAGAATATTTCCGGCGTTATAATAACACAATAACACATAAATAACACGAGATAAATATTTTCTTGTGTTACAGGACATATTTTATTTTATTTTTCCTGCCAACGTCATGTGACGTGATTTTATTGGACTCCATACGTTCTATTTTTAAACACTAGGAACTATAACCGTTACGAAATATTATAATAGCTTGAATCGAATATCTTTCTATTTTAATTATAAATTTAACATAAAATTACATGAATAACATCTGACTCAAAATTTCAACGTGCCATTTTAATATTCTCCAAATTGAGGCGTCGGATTTAAAACTAACGTTTTCCACCTGTTTTCGCGTCATCGTAACTGCTGTGTTGATAAGATGCCCTCAGCAATGCAAGCAAAGCAGCAAGTGTTGAATTTTTTAGTGGCTTTACGTGTGAATCGGTCTGAAAAGTATCTATTTTTGTCATGTTTCTTAGGTTTATGCCATCTGAATTCTACGGCTGGGTTGCAGGGGTGTGAGGAATTAGCAAGTTTGAACTGAGAGAGTTTGCTTGTGTTGGATTTGTTAAAAAATAATATTTTTATAATATTTATATCTAGCTCAAAAAAATTTATTCGTGTTAGATTTATTTGTTTAAAAAGTTGAACACGAGTTGTTCGCATAAACAAACCATTTTGACAGTCTCAGGGCTGTCAAAGCGGCTTGTTGTTCAGGAACAACTAGTCTTCAGTTTGTTAAGTAGCTTGTATTCGATTTGTTTGCTAAGCAAACGAGTTGAACACGAATAAAATGTGTTAGACTCGATTAAACACAAAATAATTAAAATAATTAATAAAAAATAGAATAAAATATATTAAAACCTATTTAAATGAATGTTTTAATATAAATAATTAAATTTAAATCTTGCAATTATCCGTAATATTTTATGGATGAGTAAGATTATGTAGTGTTTATTGTAAAAAAAAATTATACTTGGTTGCAAATATAAAAAACTAGGATATCATCAAATTTTTAATATAAAGAATTAATGTTGGATTTAGCTAAATTAATCTAAATAATGCTATTATTAATAATATTTATAATCAAGAGTAACTTAATAAGACAAATGAAGGCTTCAATTTACTTGACATAACGGTCAAAAAAACATAATGTTCATTTGAATTAAAATTTAACTATAATTTTATTTTAATTATTTTCAAAATTTTCTTCGTGAGAAGAGATTAGAAATTACTAGAACAAAAAAACTACAAATCACCACAAACAAATTCAACATTTAGGGTCTGTTTGGTGCAGCTTGTACGTTTCAGGATAAGCTGTTTATCCTAAAACGCGGCCCACGGGCTGGCCGCAGGGGTCAACTCGCGACCAGCATTTAATGTAAAAACTCAAACGCAGTTTCAGATAAGTTGGCAAAACGCGCGAACCAAACGGTACGGTGGCGTTTTGAAAACACCGCCCGCAAACGGTACGGTGGCGTTTTGAAAACGCCGCCCGCACCTATAAGCTGCCCCAAACAGACCCTTAATCTACGTTCTTCTCAGCTTTGATGATTTAAACCATTTTAATCATCATGAATCGCTGTTAATGATATTTTCTTTTTCAAGAAAAAAAAATAATTAAATTAAATACAGAATATCTGAAAGACAAATCATTATTTAATCAAAATAAAGATATTATCTGCACAATGTTAAACCAAATGAATTCCAGACGCAATTAAACAGCACTGAATTCGCATCAAACTAAGCCCATAGAACCCACCCAAAACATTGGAACGCATACTGCCACCCAATTCTTATGTATTTACATATCTAACCGCAAAACATTCACCTTTTTACATTTCACACCACCCAAATCTTTCATATCACGTCAAAAATATCACTATTTCGTGAAACACATCTTTTCATGCATAGGCAGGGCGGCATACATGTAAAAATTAAAACTTTCAAGCGTTCGACATGTAAATGTGTATGAATAAAGTGGCATGCATGCAAGTCTTCCTTTTATTAAATCTAAAATTTTCAGATCATTCAGTAAAGCTCCCCTTCCTTATGAGTATGGATGATGCAATCAGATTTCGGATACGAGATGCAGGTCAGGACGTATCCGTCGGCCATCTGAGATTCGTCGAGAAAGGATCCATCAGACTGGTCGACATTGCCGGAAACCAAGAGACCGGCGCAGGTGGAACAAGCTCCAGCTTTGCAGGAGTAAGGGAGGTCGATTCCGGCGTTCTCGGCGGAGTCCAGAATGTAAGCATCGTCGGGGGCTTCGAACTCGTCCTCATTGCCGTCTGGACTGATGAGCTTGACCTTGTAGGCTGCCATGGCGGCGGCCTTGAAGCAGTTTGATTCAGTCTTGAGACTGGATGTTTTTGAAATGGATTTGGTGAAGGAAAGGGAAGCTGGGCTTCTCACCAACATGGAGGATAAAAATGGAGCTTTTATTCTGGTCTGGAATGAGTGGGCGGTGGAGAGAGGAGTAGTGCTCATTTTGATTGCCTGTAATAAAGGATTTGTTAATAGTTAAGGGGAATTTACATACATACCACTCAATTTCTATTTATTTACAAATGTAGCACCTAAACTTAACTTTAATATTTATATCATTCAAAATCTTTCATATCACATAAAAAATATCCTTATTTTAACTTTAAGGAAATGAAATGCACCTTTTCATGTAGAGGTAAGGTAGTATTTAGGGAAAAAATTAAACCTTTAGGTGTTAGATATGTAAATGCATAGGGATTGAGTGGTATGCATGTAAATCTTCCAAAATTTAAATGGTTTCATTTACATAAGTAACATACAATTCTTATGTATTTAAGTATTAAATACTTAAACTTTGAAATTTATATTTTATAACACTTCGGTGTCATAAATCTAGATAAGAAAAAGATGAATTTTACATGAAAAAAATCAGTACTTTGTATCAACAACCAAACGGTTCCTAAAAGTAAGAATGTGCAGACTATGATTATAACAAGTTAGGTGAATATGCGATGTTGGTAGTTGACGGGTCGCATCATGTTTCTGGACAGAGTAAAAGAAATGAATTGAAAATAGCAATTTTTAAAGAGAGTTAAAATTGATTTTAAGGGGATGGAGACAGCACAGTGATGCGATAAATAATGAAAAGAAAAAAGTGCAGAAATCTGAGATTAAACTAAAAGCTAATTATCATACACTCAACAAAATACTGGAATTACATGTCAGACCTTCACTTTCATTGCATCCAGCACCTTTTATATATATATATATATATTATTTGAGTTCAAACCTTCTTGCATTTAAGATGTTAATAGAAATGCCTTAAATGTCATTAGCAAAAAAATCTGGGAATCCCTTGCATAGAAACTAGAGCTGTGATAGAGCTGTGAAACTTGCTCGAAGATTGTAAATTGCTCAAAAATCGTATCGAATTTTGGCTTGGATAGAAAGCGGGTTCAAACCATTGGAGCCGAACTACGAGCCAAATTAAAGCATCAAATTTATTCCAATCCAATTTCGATCCTTTCTTGAATCGGATCAGGATCGAAATAAATTCTTATGCATTTGCATATTTAACACCTAAACTTTTAGTTTTACATGCATAACGAAAAGGCAGGGGTTTGAATCCCCTCTTTCCACAAAAAATTGTATCTAGTAGGCTGGTCGGGCAGGTCAAGACAAGTTTGAACTGGATCATGAGCCAAAAATGACATTGAGTCGTCTCATTTACAATTCAAACCGGTTCGAAAATCGGATCGATCCACACCGGACCAGATCGAAATTTAGCAGAATCAATTCACAATCCAATTTCGATCCGATAAAGAAAATTTTGATCCGACAACTAAGAAATTAGTCCATTTGAATCTTAAATCAATGATGGGGGATGAATAATAAAGGCAAAAATTGCCCAATTTACCACTAAGTTGGAACTTTTCTAATATGCAAGAACTTGGAGATTGTTTCGTTGCAAGTCTTTGGGATCAATAAATTTATGGATGCAATATAAAATAAATATATTAAATTTTAATTTCTCATGGCTATTTAATAAACTTTGAGGCAGTAATTCTTTTGTGTTTTGTAGGATGAAATTTAACTATTAGTTTTGTATTTGATTTTTCCCTCTAGTGTTTTTTCCCAATATTAGGCCACTTGGCATCCGGAGGACTTTAGTGCTATCGTGTGCTATTTGTCATTAACAAAAATGAGTTGCATATGCCAATCAATATCCTCAAACAAGAAATGTGGTCAATTTAGTTGCATTCCAATTGGGGTCGGAGAATTTCC